TGGGCAGCCTGACTGGCTTTATTTCTTACATTGTGTGATGCCTGGGAGAGAGGCAGGAGTGATAAACATGCCCTTTTTTTTTTTTTAAACAAAATAAACCCTATTCAGATTTTTGTGGGAAAATAAGTCTTTATTTTCAGAACACATACAATAGTAAGTAAGTTGACTATCTTCTTTGACAACCAGTCTTCTTTCTGGAGTGCTTATGGCTGAAAGGTTGGTATGAATCCATGGGGGTTTCCATGTGTTAATCTAATGATTTAGTCATCTGAATCAGCTGAGTGAACTGTAGCTGAAGTGTGGTATAGGTGTCAGGTGTTAGTAAGTGTGTTTTGCTAACAGCATTGGTGAGTTCATGCAGATGTACAAACCAATGTTAATGGGCAAAAAAAAGCTTTTTTTTTCCTACTTGTGACCTCAAACTGAGCTAACATGTAAAAATTTATCAGACCTTAATGTTTAGGGAAAATGTACTGATTCTGAAACTTTGGGTCAGCAAAGACTCTGGATCATGTGCCTGAATGCCTACACTGACCAAGGAGATAGAGTGTTGTGGTGGTTTTGGGGAGAGGGTGCTGGTGAGTGTCTGTCTAGCTGTCTGGAAGGCACCAAGATTCCTGACATGGATACAGGGATGGAAAAGGCTTCCATCTCCCAGCTGCCAGTTTTGGTTCTACAGAGATGAGGAAGGACTGAAAATTACTGTCACCTTTCTGGTGATGGATGAGAAGTGAATCTTTGAACTCAGCCTTTTTCTTGATAGTGTGTCACCCTGTCAGCCCCCTGGCTTCTGCCATGAAGGAGACTAACAGAGTCTCTTACCAAAAACTGCCAGCCCAGGGGAGCAAGGGGAATGAGAGTTGAAGTACTATTTCAGTGCTGGGCTTTCTTTGAGGCTGCAGTTCTGCCTGTGTGGAGTGCTGCTGCAGCCCAAGGTGTGCCTGGGTCTGGCCTGTAGACAAAAGCTCTAATGCCAGAGCTGCTCAGCAGGAACCTCTCATCAGCACTGCTGTTTGCACTGTTTTCTGGACAGAAAGAGAGTTATATTGTAAGTGCCCGTAATTCTTACACTTGGAATCTTCAGCACACTTTGTGCCTGTGCAGGGCCCCAGATCTTTTGCTCTCCCTTGGAAAACTGGCTGTCTCACTTGATTTGCTTCCCCCTTTATAATTTCGCCTAGCCTTTCCGTATGCTTAGGGCACACATTGTTCAGACGATACTTGCTTGCTCAGCCAGGGCATTTGGCTGGATTTTGTTATTGCCTACTGTATCAGCTCCTGAAACTTTGTGGTAACGTGGAAATGCTCAGAGACAGCAGCCAACTTCATTAACATGACTTTTGCTGTGAGTGAGTGTGACTGAAGCAAAACTTCATGGAACTGAAGCAGGTCTCAGCTCCTCCTCAGTGAAGTGGTTTATGGGGTCAGAGACAGAAGGTCACGGTTATTCACCCGTTGTTATTTCCTGAGCATTATTGCTATTTGTCCCTGAACAGGAGCTAGAGAGGACATAGCTGCTTGCTGCAAAGCAGGTAGATGGTTCCTGGGGTTTGCAAGGGGACTACTGATGTTAAATTAGATCCTGTCTCACCCCTGGGAAACAGTGAGCAGACCTGAATGTTAGCATCATTGGAAAAGCATTTGGGTGGCATCTGTGAAATGTGTTGGTTGGTTTCAGATCAGCTCCTGGTGTGGATTTGTGTTCTGTCAGCCTTGGATCTTGTAGAGATCAGAGGTGTGCTTGGCTCAGAGAGGCTGACCTTGCCCTTGGTGAAATGTGAGGCTTGTTCAGATGTTTTGTACTGGCACAGCTCCCCTTTCTGTGGTTTGGACTATGCTCAGACCTTGGGTAAGCAAGGAACTGTATTTCCTAAAATACAGGGTATTTTGGACTATCTAAAATACTATCAATACCATCCCCATCTGGATGCAAGTTATCACCAAGTCCTGGATCCCCTTGGAAAAGGACCTGGTGCTTTTAGAATGGGGGTTCTTCAAGGTGTCTTCAGCTGGGGCCTCATAAGATGGGGGCACCCCAAATCTCTTGGTAGTGCTGAAATCTTGGTTCTTCTGAAGTATTGATTGTTCTCATAACACCATACCTGTGGTCATGGGATGGGTGACTAAGTTCTGGTGGTTCTTATCCAGCACTGCCATGCTCCCAAGAGTGAGGTTCATAGAGACAAGGATCCTTTCTGCATACCACAGATATACCAGTTCTTAACTGGTTTACTAGGAGCTGGGTGGCAGCTGACCCACATAAAGATAATTATACTTAAAGAGAACATACAGGCACCGGTTTTGCACAGTATATGAAATGTAATGTTGCTTGTTCTGATGTCTGAGCCTTGCCAATAGAGTCTGTGTGGGTCTTGAACAATCCACTAAAAGCTAATTGAGGAGGAAGAGATTTTGCATAGGTTTTAAGTAAACTGAGGATGTGCAGCCCAGCTTGGGAAAATTGATTGTACAAAATCAAGGGACCTTTGTTGCTAGTGTCAAGTGAGCAGGCATTGGGCAAGGCCAGCATTCACCTCTGTCAGTGTGTACTGCAGGGGTGGATCAGTACTTAAAGCCCAGGGGTGGCTGTGCAGCTCCAGCTGAGGCAGCCCAGGCAGTGGGGGGAGTTGACTTAGCTCTATTAAACCCACTCCATAGCAGGGAAACAGGCCTGTGGTGGCAGCAGTTGTATCAGCACCCCGGGCTGAGGATGGACACGGAGTTATTGCCTAGGAAGAAGCATATTCCACTGCACTTGACCTTTTTCTTTGCTCTTGGCACAGCTTCCCACCCACACCAAGGGTTGTGCCTGCCCCGTGCTGGACACCTGCCCTTGGCCAAGCTGGGAACGTAAGTCCAGAAGTGCCAGTGCTCAGAGCTGTAAAATTGATAGCTGGTGTGTGCTAGTGCAAGTGTTTGTGCAGACACAGCCCTAAAGGCTTGTGTTGTTAAATATATGTATGTGTCTCTCTCTGCTTATTTTTCTAGTGCTTTTGTGTGTCTCTCTTATTAAATGCAGGTGTTCCATATAACAAGAAAGGAGATAAAACTCACTTTAATGGCTACAATTATACTTAACTCTGCTGAGTCAATCTGGCAGAAAGCACAGCATGTTCAGACTGGCAGTTTATAATGTAATGTCCTATTAGGCAGTAAGGAAAGAAATGTCTTCTAAGGAGAGTGGATAGAGCACAGATTAAAATAAGGAATCTTGAAGGCATGGTTTAATTTGGATTGGTGAGATGTCACACCTTGAGGCCCTTGCCCTGCCTGCAGTCCCTTTGCCCCTGGGCTGTTGACCAGCCCCGGCCCAGAAGAGGCTGTGTCAGTGCCACTTGTGAAAGGTCGTTTTGATATCAAGGCTGTTGTGTATCCAAAGCACTGGGCGAACGGGGTGCCCAGCTAAAAGTCTACACCTGCTTGTTGTGGGGTGGGGTGAGGTTTCCTTGGACTTAAGTTGTTTGGGAATTTTTTTTTACCATCCTGCAGTCTTCTAGTGCTCCATCGCCAGTAGATCTGACAAATTACAGTGCCATTTCTAATGGGGGAATTGGATGTGTCTGACCAGGTGCACTGAGGAGGGTGTTTATTTTTGGGGCATGGGGGGGTGTGGTCCTTTGGTAGCAGAATTGTCCTGAAGCCTGGGAGCCAGTGGGACTTTTCAGTGGGTGGCTGCAGGGCATGTGGCTAGGATAACTACTGCCCTTCCTGCCTGGTTAATTAGTGATAGGAGCAGCCATTCTGTTTTCACTGATGTGGGACAAGAAAGTGATTGGGGCAGGGATGTTGGGTAAAGGTTTGTTTTTGCCTAATTTCATATGCAATTCCTAAGAGTATGTTACACGAGCCCTTCTGGACATTTGTTCACTGAAGCGAACACAAGCACATTTAAGTTTTCCGCAATGGTTGTCCCAACCCCTGGAATAAACCAGACTTTATTAGTTGCTCATGCTTGGACTTTGCACTCATATAGAGAACTAAAAGGCAGTAAAGTACCTAACCATGAGTTGGGTCTTATACAATTAAAATTGGGAATTTTTTTGCCTTGTCGGTTGGTTTGGGGTTTTTTGTTGTTGTCACAGACTTTTCACCTAGGAACTGAATTGTAGGGGCAGTTGAGCCTACCAAACCTTGAGCCATGCAACACCATCCCCACTCATAATGGTAGCAGTAGGAACCCATCAGTTGTTGGGAGTTAAAGTGGCTCAGCTTTCCTGCAGTTCTTTTTGCAGGTGGAGTTTCCATTAGGGAGTATTTTATGGTTCTCATCACAGCCTTTTATATCCTTGCTCTAAATGTACAGCAGCAAAAGAAAGTTGAAGGTGCAATTTCTGCTGGCACCTGCTCCTTGAGAACAACATGGAATAACTAAATGGCTGCACTAACCACCACAGCATATTGTAACCATGCTTTTCTTTCCAGCAGATGGCAAAGAGTTCAGCATCTTGCTTCTCCAGGATTGTATGTTCCACTTAGGAAGTCTTTATCAAGACTTGTTCTAGGATAGTCCTGTTTTATCACTTTACATGGAGACATTCTCCCTGGTAATCTGCATCATGTAGCACTAAATGAGCCTGACTTCTGCACAAAGCCAGCTGCCACATTTTGTCACCTCTGAGCAGCCCCAGCAGGCACAGCCTGTCCTCAGCCCTGGCCACTGGCCTAGCAGTAACACAGAGCAAGTGGTTGCCCTGAAACTCTTGTGGCTTCAGTGCGAAGCCTCCCTTCTGGCTGCTGGAAGCTTTAACCTGTACTGAGGATTTGTTTTGTCTGGAACACAGAGGCTGTGCCTCCCAAGGTGGAGCATGTGCAATAATTGGGAAGAGACTTTTTGGGATCCTGACAGGCACAGCAGCCTCTCATCCAGAGCAGGGAGAGGGAAAACAAGTAATGAACAGACCCCAGCACTGATGTGTAACAGCTCAATGTTTCAGGCATTTCAACTCCCTTGTGCTGAGACTGTCTGGGAATGATAAAGATGCATTTTCTGTTTGAAATAGGTGCAGTACTTCTTCAAGATTCTGGACAACTAACAGGCTCCATCCTCACCCACTGCAACAGACACGCACACAGAACTGTGTGTTCATTCATTTATTTGTCCAATGTTTCAACCTGACTGAAATACAAGATCAACAAGAGCACTGTACTCCTGGCTATTATTACATGTTAGAACATAGAGTTTTGCACTTTAGACAACATTTAACACCATTCTATGGGGTACTGCATTGCTTTTATAAAGTTTAAAATAAAGATTTATTTTCAAACATGTGACTTTGGTTTATTTCATACATTACACTTTCTTGCAGAAAAAATAAAATTGTACAACTGCATAAATATAAAATTCTTCCACCATGAAAATGGCTAAAACATTCAATAAAGACATTAGCACCACAGTGTGCGATGCCTTCAGCAGGAAAAAAAAAAAAAGAAAAAGAAAAAGATAAGAAAATATACAAAGCAAAGAGTTATGCCTATCACTGCGGAGAGTGATAGCCTGACCCGGTCTCTCACACAACATACTGGAGGATAAGGGAAGAGGTGGAGAGAGAGACAGCATTCACTACAAAGCACAGTACACAATCACCTAGTCTCTTTGACTTCACTTAAGTTAGTTTCCCTGCCACCCCTCCAAATAAAATACCCTAACACCACAGAAAAGCCAGAAGCCTTATGGAGTGCTGTTTAATATTGTCTCACAGGTGGGTCTTTCTTTGAAAAGGAACAAAATAATGAGAAGTTTCATGCCAGTTCTAGTCCCATTGAGTATTTACACCTTGGACAGCAAAAGTCTTTGCTCACAAGAAGTAGAAAACAGATACAATACATGGCTTGAAAAATGACCAGAGTATGCACCTATAGTACTGTACACTAAATAAAATACACAAGGCAGCAATACTTAGGGGCCAGAAACACTGCTTACTACAAGTCAGTTATGGAATCATAATTTATAGTAAAAATGGGCATGTCCCAAGGCTCAATTTTGTTTTCTTTTGTCATTTACAGTAGAATAAATATTTGTCACTATTGCTACACTTTGTTTACATTCTAACCTAGTAAATGCAGAAAGCTAGTGTAAAGCATATAGATTACGTGTAGGTCCCATACGTATGACAGTTTGTTCAAGACTAGTAGGTTTTCTTTTTTGTTCTTTTTTTTTTTAACCTTTTTAAATGGCTAGGAGGAGGAGGAGGGAAGGAAGAGAGTTGTGCTTACGATCAGCTGCTTTTTATGTCGAATTTAATATCAAAGCGTCCCTGGAAGCGGTCCTTGTCGCTGTAGACGATGTTCTGCCCGTAGGCCCTGCACTCCACACGCACCTCCACATCATAGGTCAGGTTGGTGAACTGCACGGCTACCAGTGGCTGCAGGTACCGTGGCTGCAGCAGCTTCCCATAGTAGGGGTAGTACTGCAGCCCAAAGCCAGGGTAGCCACCCATCCCATAGTACTCCACCGTGCCAATTTTGTCTGCATCTTCCTCTCGCTGTGGGGGGGAAGAGGAGGCACAAGAAATGACAACCACCCAAACTCTGGCAGCCCTCAGCTGTATAAACAGCAGCTGATTTTCAGCTGAGACTCTGATCTCCCATTTGGTCAGTGCTGGTCCCCACCAAGACAGTACAAGAGCTGCCAATGGTTCACAGGACGTGTCAGCACACATCAGCCAGGAAAAGGGCTTTGCTTAATTTAAAGCCACAGCCACTTACACAGTTAGAAACCACCAGAGTGTCCCATGGTACAATTGGACAGGCTTTGGCTACAGAAACTTTGCCGTTTCTCAGCTGCTTTTGCACATGCCAAGTATGAAATACCTTCCGTGGTGGCCTTTTTATTTTTTTGGCTCCAGCACCGCACTAGGAAGCCAAATGGCTACTTTTGACGATACCTTTAACTATCATGCCCTGCTTTTACCCCACTTTGTGAAGGTAGCACTAACTCATCCATCAGCAGGGCTTTAAGAAACTTCTGTTATCCCAAGTAAGAACTACCCCATTTGTCTATGGAAAGGCAGGCGAGGGGATAACTACACTTGGACAAAGGCTTAGTCATCCCCTGCAGCTTCCCAACTCTGCTCTGTTGCATTTCCAACTTACCTTGGCAACACAGTGAACAGGGATGAGATTTGGGTTGTATTTTGCCATAACCTCAGGAGGGAGGCTTTCATTGACTGGAGCCTAGAAGAAATCCAGAACAAGGGGACGTTACACACTGGACACTCCTCTCCAGACTGGAGCACCTTTGCAGCAACAAAGATCAACAGTACTGAACACACACCATTAACTGGAATCCCTTCTAAGCACGGTTCAGAGGCAACAGCTCTCAGTGGTTCTTGGGACAGACAAGTAGTGTAACACAACTGGAAGCAGGGGATCTTGACTCAATCAGAACTGCTGGCTGTTCTTACAGCTTCACCTGCTGCAGATACGAGCAGGTCAGGCTGGGTGTAATTCCATGGTGTCCCTGGGGAAAGTGTTTCATGGCAGAGTGTCTGTAGCTAGTGGTGCTCATTTTTGCAAGCTCAGGTAGTGGCAGGATTGCAGTGGTGCAGGATTTGCCACCTGCCTGCCAGGTGTGTGCAATCAGGACTGAAAATGCACAGGATAAAACAAAGAGTGGCAGTCTCACCATAATACATTCTGCTAAAATGTTTCCACCACGCATCAGATAAACCAAAAGTTCTCATTTCTTGTAGCACAGGACAAGCTCCCTTCGAAAGAAAACATTCCTCAGGACTCCTCAGCACCAATTCCCACCCTCAAGTGCCCTGACAGATGGGAGCGAAGGTGGCCTAGAACGCCATTTGCACTGTTCTCCATCCAGAAGACAGAGTGGCAGGTTTTGCACGCCACCTTATTCAACAGCACATGTTTTGCCACTGAATACTTAAAAGAAATTTTTAGCATTTTAATGCACTGGGGGAAAAAAAAAACAGAAGGAAAATCCATCAATACCCAGATTAACACCCTCTGGCATTATTGCAGATTTCCCTTCGGGTGAAGGACACAGCAACCAGTTGGCAGAGATACCCTAAAGCCTCTGGAAAACGACACTAAATTCACTAAAGACCTCCTCGCCTTTCTTTCAGCTGTGCCTGACTTTCAAATGTAGTTTACTCTTTAGAGCCTGTGTTTCACTCTGGTATTTAATATTAGCATTTCATAAATTAATTAAGCAGTTATGGCAAGACGGCACTGCCTGAGGAAAACAATGGAGTGCATCAGGGCATGAAAAATTGTACTGATGTTACTACAGACAGGGTTGGTCTGGGATGGTGCCATGGAAGCATACAGGAATTTAAAATGGAATTTGGCATTTGGAGAAAACACCCCTTTACAGCAACTCCAATAGCAGGCTCAGAAGTTTCCAGATAAATAACCAGAAGGTTGCACTGTGAGGTTCAGTGCTACTTGTTACCAACTTGCAGTGCACAACATTCATTGCTTTTCAATTAAAAGCATATTTAAAGCAAATTACTCAAATTGTCTCAGTTTGTCCTCTGCAGAAAGGGTTTAATACTGATCTCTTTCTGGAGACCAAAAAGCAGGTACAGCAAATCTGCAGCCAACCCTTCTTCCTGATCAGTAGCTTCTGCTAGAAAGGGAAAAAAGATACTTGCCTGAGGTTTGAAGCCAATAATTCTGTTGAGCTTGACAAGGATGCACGGTTTGCCATCCTTGTAGCCGTAGGTGGGATCATTTAATCCAGAACAGTTTTCCAGCCATTCACGTTTGAATTTGCAGACCTTCTTCTGGCCCTGGGCATCATTATATGGTCCTCTCTCTTTGTATTCAGTAGGTGTCTCTGTCACAGCAGGGGAAGGAAAACACAACCATATGCAGTGGGATCTTGTGCGTGTCACTTACACTTTCCTGGGCAGGTAGGATTTCCCTCACCAGGGCAGTTAAGGCACTCCACAGACCTATGCCCAGCCACCCCCCACACAGGGCTGCTCCCAGACCAGCAAGTTTTATGGAGCTTTGTTTTATAACTGAGATTTCTTCTAGAGTCATCTGGCTGAGAGACTAATTTTTTTCCAGGCAGCTTTTACAAGTGGGTTTCCCTCATATTTGATAGAGGCATATTATGAAGTGAGAGTCTCATTCACATGATTACAAATAACCTATTAAGGGTAAACACCTCCCAGATGTTTGACTGCATGCACGAAGAGGACCAACACTAGCTTTAGCAAGTCATCAGTAAAACCCCTGTGGCTTTCAGAGAGAATAAGGTCAGTGCCATCTTCAGAGTGAGTTCTCCAAGTGAAATGTGAGGGTTCCCAACCCTACAATAAGCTGCTAAGTGGCCCAGTGTGGTCTGCCCAAATGAAATTAATGAGCAGCTAGTTAACACACATGCTGCTGGAAACCACTGAAGACCAAGACCACCACTGCTCAACCTCAGCTTCTGGTGGGCCTGACAGAGGTCATTCAGTCATCAGCTGTAGGAAACAAATCAAGACTTACCTCCACAGTCCTGAAACACAATGTTTTCAGTTTGTTGCTCAGCACTGTAGTCCCTTAAGAAATTATCAAGGTTCCTCACATACGGTTCATAACTTCTGGGTTCAGAGGCAGTAAAGGCAATTTCTGTCTTTTGAACCTGGGGGACTTGAGTCAGTCCTAAGAAAAGCAAAATCAGGGAGAAAACATTAAGTACACCTCAGAGCTGCACATCCTCCAGGCAATACCAAGAACATAACTCCTAATAATAATAATAATCTCTATTTTTCAGACTTAAGAACTTTGACAAAACAGCTTAAGCTTACTGGAGAAGAGGTTCTCTCTTTCCAGCAACTGTCTTAAAATACTTATCACAATGTTTGTGTCAGGTAAAAAACCAAAAATCACAAAATGGAGAAGTGAGGCTACAAATCTAGGCTTCCTTCAAGAAAAACAGCCAACCACAGGTTCACTGTGCACTTCTACCTCCTCCTCGAGGACAGAAAAGAAGTGGCATGTGAGATCAACCACACAGAACACGAGTATCCCTAATAGGCTGCTTTCAGTGTCTGCAAACTCTGTGTTTAAGATACAGCACAGCTCTCCACTCGTGAGCTCCTGCAACAAAAGACAAGAGGTTTCCCAAGTCCAGTCACGCTCTGCCAGTTGGAATCCATGTGGCCTTTGTGTCTCCCCTGTGGGATGCGGGGCAGGAGACATTTCTCCCTTAGTAAATTTAGCTGCCTAAGCACTGCCTCCTCTGTTTTTACTGCCTAATTGGCTATTTCTGACTGTAAAACTCATCTTCTGGGCTCTCTTATCAGCAGCTCATCACCAAGGAGTTGACTAGGAAATGCCACCACACAGAAGAATTGTTTAAAAGACTCTCCATTTTCTGGGCTGTGCTAACCAGCTAGATATAGAATATAATAATGATGCACGGAGAAGAGACTATAAACAAGAAATGCCTACAGATAATGAAAAGCACCATCTCCTTTGCTCTTCATTGTGGAGC